ACTTTTGTGGAGGTCTGTAGTTCAGGCTGGCCTCAACTTAATCCTGCCTCAGCTTCCCAAGTGCTGGGATTACAGGCATGCACCATCATACCCAGGTTCTAGTGTCATTGTTTGTTGAGACAGGGTCTCACTGTGTAGTTTAGACTGGCCTTGAATTCTCTTTGTAGCCCAGGCTGGCCTCCAACTTGGAGTAGTCGTCCTTCCTTGGCCTCCCAAATGCTGGGATTACAGGCATGTACCACCATGCCCAGCTCTAGTGTTTTTTTGATACGATTTTCTTAAAAGCACCAATAAATTGTACTCATGCCTGTCTTTATTGTATCAATGTGTCTTTAGTACATAATCAAGTTAGCAGCTTTCCTCTGCATAGTTTTTTTCCTCTGCATAGTTTTAAGATTGATGGAAGAAGATTGCAAAATATTCATTTGCTAAAACAGTGCTTAAGTTTTGTTTTGGTTTTGCATTTTGTTTTGAGAAGGGGCTCTTGCTGTGTTTAGCAGGCTGGTTGAAAGAATCCTGGGGCTCAGATGTCCTCTCACCTCAGCCTTCCCAGTAGCTGGGACAATAAGCATGTGCCTCTGCATTCTTAGGTTTTGATCCAAGTTCTAATCTCAGGTTCTTTCTTAACACAATGTGCATTGTGTTAGGGTAAAAAACTAAAAAGCCCAGAGAAAGTAAGTAACATAAATAATCCTGTTGGGACTAGAAACTAAACTATTAGTCTGTGTGTTTGGACAATATATGAACATGCCTGTAGTAGCAGCTACTCATGAGGCTGAGGCAAGTTCACAGATAACCCGGACAACTTAGTGAGATTGTATCTCACAAAAAGTAAACAGGGTCTGTAGGTGTAGATCAGTGGTAGTGTCTCCTGGGGTTCAGTCTCCCAAACTCTGCCCCGCCCCACCCCCAGACCCCACACAGAACTCAGCTTCTTTGTTTCAGGTACCCAGTTTAAAGGTACTCTGAAGGGGTCTGAAACCTGGACTTTAATGTGAAAAAATCCCCCTTTTATTTGAAATGGAGTTTCACTATGTTGTCCTTGCTGATCTTGAACTTGTGGTCTTTCTGCCTTATCCTTTTAGGTAGCTGGGATTATAAGCACATACCACCATGTCTTGTGAAAATATCCACAATTTTAAATATTGGCAGCAAACTTGAAACTTTTTAAATGCTCTTTGGATCATTCTGTTCAGGATGTGGCTGAGGTCCATCAGAACATAAGTCTCATTTCCCCTAGCCCTTACATTTCCTTCCATGCAGCTTAAAATATTTGAGATGAAAAGTGTTAATGCTGACCCATTAGCTGTTAGAGTGGTTTAATGGATTTTGTTACGTTCGCATTATAGAACATTTTGCATCCATGAATATTCAATAAGAACTTGGTTACATGCAAGAAATACAAATGGATAATAACACCAAAATGTCAACTTTATACCAAAGGTTCCATCAATGAGTAGGTTTTCTTTTTGTATTCAGAAGAACTTTTTAAAAATATGTCATATAGAAAACATTTTGTTTTCTGTTCTACTTAAGGTAATAAATTCTGTTATGTTAGGGTAGTGTATAATCTCTTTGTTTTCAACTTTGTTTCCAATGCAGTTATTTTTTTTTTCCTTTTTAGAGATGCTAACTTTGTTTTTCTCTGACTTTGTTTTTATTCTTCTGTCTGATGACTTCCAAAAGAACCACGAAACCAACTCCTCACTTAGATGGGTAAAGTTTATTTGAATATTTTATAACCCACTTTGAATTAATATCAAAGTAAGAAGCCATTATTTAATTATCATTGCTTTACTTTTTAGGCATCATGTTGTTTTTGGACAAGTGATCTCTGGTCAAGAAGTTGTGAGAGAGATAGAAAACCAGAAAACAGATGCGGCTAGCAAACCATTTGCTGAGGTACGGATACTCAGCTGTGGAGAGCTGATCCCAAAATCTAAAGGTAAGAGCAAGTACGTATTTCAGGAAATCTTTAATCATATGAAATAAGTAGAAGCTGGGCATGGTGGTGCACACCTGTAATCCCAGCACCCAGAGGCTGAGGTGAGAGGATCACCACAAGGTCAAGGCCAGACTGAACTACATATGAGTTGAAAGCCAGCCTGAACTTCATATTAAGATCCTGTCTCAGAAAAATAAAATAAGTAGATTCATTGCCTGCCTCGCAAGTGCAAGGACTGAAGTTTGATCCCCAGTGCCAAATAGATAGAGATAGATAGATAGACAGACAGACAGAGACACTGTAAATTGTTGACCTGAAATTCATACTAAGGCTGATACAAATATGAGGGGTTTTTGCCAGGCATGATGGTTCATACCTGTAATCCTAGCACTCAAGGCAGAGGCATTAGGATCATGGCAAGTTTGAGGCCAGCCTGGACTACACAGCTCAAGGCCAACCTGAACTACAAAGTGAGTGAGATCCTGGATCCTTCCCCACCACCACCAAAAAAAGAGGATTTTTTTTTTGTATCGAGTATGTTTTATGCTTCTTTTTTTTTTTTTTTTTTTTTTTTTTTTGAGTTCAGTCTGGCCTTAAACTCACTCAGTAGCCCAGGCTGGCTTCTGCCTCCTGAGTGCTAGGATTACAGGCGTGTGCCAGCATGCCCAGCTTATAAGAACCATTGACAAGTGAGATGTTGCCTTATTTTAATTTGCATTTTCTCGGGATTAGTGATGTTATATTGTTTTCATATATTGTGTAGATATCTATTAAATCCATTTGTTTGAAAATTTGATTGCATTCTGATCTTTTTGTCTGACAAAATTTCTGACAGTGGGGTATTATAATTGTTGTTGATCTAATTTTTAAATGTCTGGTACTGTTTTGTGAAATTGGATACAGTGATGTTTGCTGTATATATTTTTAATTATTATCTTTTCCTGTTGAATTGTTCCCTTGAGCAATATGTAGTGATCTTCTTTGCCTCTTCTGATCACTTAGTTTGAAACATTTCACTCCATTTCTCTTGGACTTTAAGGTTTGTGTGAAGTCTGCTGTAATTTGAATAGGTGTACTTTTTTAAGTGAGTCATTGTCTCTAACAGCTTTTAAGATTCTGTCCCTATGTTGGATGTGGAGAGTTTCAAGGCTGAGCCCCCCTGTGAGGCACTGGAGAGGAGTTTTTTAGTCCATATCATCTTTGGTACTGTGAGTGAGTTAATTCCCCAATAAAGAACAAAAGGTGGAGCCATTTATCAGAGTAAGTACAGCATCAGAACAGGAGAGCCAGAGCTCAAGAGCTGCTTGTCTATTCAGCAAAAGCAGTTGCAGTGCTCCTCTTTAGTTCATGGCAGTTATATTAGTTGTTATCAGCTTACTTGAGACAAAACACCTGGGTGACCTTGTAGGGCCATGTGGCACATGTATGGTAAGTCATTCTTATATAATTGTGGCCCATTATATGCATGCCCCTGATAGTAGAGTCATGTCCTTAAGTGTCCTACGTTTCCGGGCTTTGAGTCTAATCAGAAGTGGTTCTCTTTTGATCGTGGTTATTTGGAGTTGTATGTGTTCCACTTATATGAATGTATAACTCTTCCCCAATATTTGGAAAGTTTTTTGCTATTTCTGTACATAGGTTTTTTATGCTCTTTGTGCTATCTTTTGATTTTTTTTTTTTTACTTATTCCAGTTAATCTGAAATTAGTCTTTTTTACATCATCTTGCAGCTGTTGAGTTTTTCTTGTTCTCTTGTTTGAGTGATTAGCCTCCAAAAGTATCCCTATCTGATTTGCTTTGTTTTGCTTTTTTGAGACAGGGTCTTGCTATATAGATCAGACTGAACGAGTGCTGGGATTATAGATGCCTATAATCCACCACACCTTGCCTAATTCTGACACTGTGTCTTCACTTTGGTCGCTTCTGCTGCCCATACTTTGAATATAATTTTTAATCTCCTTCATTTCTTTTTGAAACCTTTTCATGGACTCTGATTATTTGCTAAAATGTTCATTCATGTTTTTTATCATTTTGTTTAGCTTAGCTAGCTTTTCTTAGTGTCTTCTGTTGTAAGCTCCCTGATTATTTTATTACCTTCATTATCTCATTAGTTGTAGTTTCTGTGAGCCCTCCAAGCACAGCACTGATCTGTTTTTTAATCTCCAATAATAATTTGGTTTTTGATTTGTCCTCCTAATCCCCCATGGATCAGCTTTGGGGAACTATGAGTCCGGCATTTTATTGCTTTGTCCTTCTGTTTCTGTTGCTGTTTGCTTGTTTGGTTTGGTTTGATTGGTGCTTAGGTATGCAATCTTTTATAATGGAAAGACTTTGTTGATAGTGAAGAGCTCTTTACTCTTCTTTTTAGTGACCCCCCTTGGGGCATAGTTTACTATAGGCTTTTGTCTCTGTCCAAAGATCTGATCACCTCTGTTAATATAGAGATGCAGAGTAATTGGCCCAGGACCCAGTTCTCTAGGAATCAACCGCAGTGTTGTTAACGTCACAGGTAATCCAGGTATTGGCATACAGAGAATTTCTGTTAATAGCAACAACTATGTGACCTAGGCAACATCAGATAGATCAGTAACAATAACATCATACAAGACAAACTGGATATTGACATACCATAAGAACTAGTAATGTTACTACCCTTGGCCTTGGAAAAGAAATCTAATTGCAGTATAAACACTCAGACCCCCAAATACTGACATACAGCAAATATCTACTACTATCCTTCCAATGATGACAGAATTTAATAGTAGTCACATAGAGTTAACAAACTAAAGGAATAATAAAGTTTAATTTTCAGATTTCTAATTGTTTTCTTAATGTTTGTGTTTTTGTTGTGCAAATCTGGATCCAAATAAAATTCAAATGTTGAGGTCGGTCTTGTGAATCACTTTGGGTTAATTTATGTAAATTGGGAATGATGACACATGCCCATAGTCCCAGCTACTCAGGAGGCATATTGTATAAAAAGTATTTGTTTGGTACTGACCTGAGGGCCTCGTGTGTGCTTCATAGAGAGGTAAGGGCTTTATCACCAAGGTTCTCCCCCAGCTATTTAAAACTTTTGGTTTTTGTTGTTGTTTTTGTACTGGGAATTGAACTCCGGAACTTGAGCTTTCGAAGTAGGCAGCAGCTATTTAAAACATTTTTTAAAGACAGTTTCACTAGGTTGACTGGGCTGGCCTAGAACTTGTGATCCTCCTACATCAGCCTCCTGAGTAGCTGGGATGATAGGTATGTGCAGCTATGCTTAACTGTTTATTTTTTAATAGGTTCCCCTACTACCTCCTTTTTTTTTTCCTTAAAATGTACAGTTAATGGAAGTAGGTCATTTTGTCATAAAATATTTCCCATAATGTGCATATCTTAGATTTTACTAATTGACCCCTTGTTGTGCAATTTTATGTGTTGTCACTGTGCTTCTATTTCACATAAATACACCTTGAGAACTGATCAGGTGCAGCCTTTTTTCCCCCTTGTTATTCCTCTTGATGGCATTAGGAGTCATGTAAGGCATGTTGCTTCTGGGCATCACAGCAGCCATTGGTGTTCATTGCCTCATTATAAGTTGTGAACTGATGATGTTCTGACAATAGGAAAGGCAGGACAAATACTTTATATTTTGATTTCAATATAGTTGATATATTCCATTTTATTGTAATTATCAATTATATGTCTGTGTTGTCTTTGTCCTGATACAGTGGCCTTTTCATATCCCCTGTGGTTTTAATTAGCATAGCTTTAGATGAATCAAACTCTACTAGATTTGTTACATCTTTCTCCATCTTTTATGTAATACACCTTGTTACCTTCACTTAAATTAACTGCTTGACTTTGATGGATTTGAGTTTTGGAGCCCTTGTATTTTTGCTGCTGTTGTTATTATTGGGGATCGAACTGGGTACCTTGCACTTTCGAGGCACAACTGAGCTACATACCCAGCCCTGGGGCTCTTTTAAACATTATTACTTCCTTAGCCCAAAATAAAACTTCAATTTGAAGTAACATTTTATGGAGATCGCAAAACATATTTTTTCATTATGGCCAAATGACTTCTTTCTGTTAGGAATCTGTACTTTTCTTAGTCATTAGAGAATACTTAAGGATTGAAATATAAGCTCATGCTAGTGAAAGCTTGTTTATATCTTTCCATGTTCGGGCATAATACTTGTCTGTTATCACCCTATATAATTCTGCTTCCAGTGTTGATACTAAGAGAAAATGTGAGAAACTAAAGGAACATTAGAATCTGGGAGGCTTAAATGTTATTCTGTTTCTTTGAAACTTTTTTACTCAACTGTCCCTTAAAATTAACTTGTTTTACATTTCAAACTAAGAGCTTTTCAAAAAATTTTTGACTCAGTAAATTCAACTTTGACCCACAAATCTGAAGATAGGGATTCTGAGTCTTGATTCCTTTTATATACCCTCAGTTCAAATAGGTAGATGAGCTAAGTATTAAATACTTGACTTAGTGAAAGTCTTCAGAATATTTAAATTTCTGCTTATAAGATTTGTCTAAAAATTGCTGACTCAAACCTTCTTGTTTTTATTAAAGTTAAAAAAGAAGAAAAGAAAAGGCATAAATCATCATCCTCTTCCTCTTCATCATCCAGTGATTCAGATAGCTCAAGTGATTCTCAGTCCTCTTCTGAGTCTTCTGATTCTGAAAGTGCTTCTGAAGAGAAATCAAAAAAGAGAAAAAAGAAACATAGAAAAAATTCCCGGAAACACAAGAAAGAAAAGAAGAAGAGAAAGAAAAGCAAGAAAAGGTTTTTACTTTTGAATTATGTGGGACCACTAGAGGACAGATTTTGTGCAATCAATAAAAATTTGGGTACATTAATTTCCATTTTTAACAGAACCTCTCCGTTCATTTTGTATTCACTCAATGAAATAATAGCTTTTGGATTTTTTTTGTCCTTGAGTTTTGTTTCTTGTTTTGTTTTTTGTTGTTGTTTGTTTGTTTCTTTGTTTTTGGTACTGGAGATTGAACTTGAGCCCTTGCACTTTCAAGGCAGGTGGTGGAACCGCTAAGCTAAATCGCCAGCCCTTGTTTCTTATTTTTTTTGTTTTTTGGTTTTTTTGAGATGGATGTCTCAGTTACGCAGACCAGCCTAGAGTTTGTGATCCTTCCTGCCTTAGCTTTGCAAATACCTAGAATTATGTTTCCTTTGCTCTTATAATAGGACAAGGGCAGAAAGCAAATAATGGCTGTACATTTACATTCTTTTCCATTTTTCTTGAAATAATCTGTTTATGCTAAAATTTTTAACTGCGTGTTGTCTCAAAAGTAATTTCTTTACCTGTATTTTAAATTTAATAGATGATAACTAAGTTTTAACAGTCATTTATTAGAAAAATGTTAAAAATAAATAAATTTAGAAGAACCTGTTGCCCACAGAGTTATTGTTTTGGGGCCCATTTTATGGAAAAAATATTGGTGAGTGTGGTGACATAATTTGTCTAGATTTTTTTTTTTTTTTTTTTTTTTTTTTTTGCTATGGGTGGGAGTCAAACTCAGGACCTTTAACTTGCAAGGCAGGCAGCAGAACCACTGAGCCAAATCCCCAGCTTGTCTAGATTTTTGATTGGTTATTTGACTTGTCAAAGGAATGGAGGAAGATTTTCCCCACATGATTACATTTGGGAAAGATTGGGTGGTATATATTGTATATATACACATACACATACATACATACATATACATACATACGTGATATAAAGAAACAGTGGAAATATAGGGTAGGTACGTAACAACTTATTTTTTACTTTCTGTGTATTAAGTGCATCTAGTGAAAGTGAGGCTGAAAATCCTGAAGCACAACCCCAGTCTACTGTCCGTCCAGAAGAGATCCCTCCTATACCAGAAAATAGATTTCTCATGAGAAAAAGTCCTCCAAAAGCTGATGACAAGGAACGGAAAAACAGAGAGAGAGAACGAGAAAGAGAGTGGTATGTGAATGTGTGTTATTTTGTAGTGTCCTGTACACTTAGCATAGAATGTTCTTCTTCAAGACTTTTGTGCTTATTTTAGACAAGATTTAATTGGTGTCCTGATCCCAAGATTGAAATCTTCATCTTTTTTTTTTTTTTGCACCAGGGATCAAACTCAGGACCTTGCACTTGTAAGGCAAGCATGGTGCCACTAGCTAAATCTCAGGCCCTGAAATCTCTTTTTTTTGGTACCGGGGATTGAACTTGGGTCCTTGCTCTTGCAAGGCAGGCCACTGAACTGCTGAGCTAAATCCCCGACCCAGAAATCTTCTTCTTTTAATAGACACAAGTGAGAATCATTTCTTAAAATTTATATAATAGGAAAAAGTCCTGTTTTCCTTATGTGATTTGCAATATTGTAGTAATAAAAGTAGATAGCATGTTAAATACTTTGAATATTTTTCTACATAAATCCACATTATTGTCAGTAGTTGTGTTGATTCCTTAAGAGTCATTTTAATGATGATGCCTAAAATTTAAAAATTGAAGTAGTTCTTATGATCACAAATATATTGTTATAACATACAAATAATAAAATTGTTAGTGATCCTCTTTTACAATACAATAAAAATGTAAAACATGAGAATTATTTGAAACTTAGGGTAACTTCATTGGATTGAGTTTATTTTTCTGGTAGTATGGAAAAAGCTGTTTCTAAGGCAGTAAAGATGAAAAGGAAATATTTGAACTACTGTTTAGTGAACTACACTTTAGTGAACTTTTCAAATATCATTTACATGAGTATTGTTATTGGCTAAATACCAATAACTGTTATTGGACTACAATTTTACTTTTTGATATAAACCATGGTATAAAAATTTGGCTAATTCAGACCAGTTTATCTATGCTTTATCACAGTATGTACGTATCTTTACTTCTCTTACTTATGAATAACTGCTTATAGGGATGAGGTTCTTTGGAATAAGACAATTCTAACATTGTACACTCAGTTCCTTCTGAGCTCTTCCATGTTGATTTTCCTTAGCACTACCAAATTAGCTTTATCTTAATGAGTACTTTCCATTTGTTTCTTAGCAGGTCCTGACTGGTGTTTTTTTGGCAGAATAGTCCATTTTGACTCTTGGGTAGTGACTACAAGTAACACTTTTTTTTTTTAAGCTGAACATTTAATTGGTCCGTTTTAGATATACATAATGATAACATTCACAATAAGGAATTTGTACCTGTACATGATACATCTTTTTTTCTCATTCCCCTTTCCTCTCTTTGACCTCTCTTCCCCTCCTTATATACAAAAACTTTGTTTCCATTTATTCCTTCTAGTTTCTCTTTTTTTTTTTCCTTGTCCCCCTCCAACTTCCCTTCTCATTTAAACATTTTCTTCCCATTTTCCAGTCATTTTTGGCTCTAGGGTACTGATTTCAAGCAACACTTTATAGTTGTTGACTTAAAAAAAAGCCCCTCGTGCTTTTCGAGACACTTCTTAGGACCTGATGGCTTGTTAAGAACGACTGATTATATTTAGAATTTTAAATTGATTAAGAACAGTACAGGTGTATTTCTATATTCATTTTCATAATAGTATTTAACTTTTTCTTTGTTTTTTCCTAGTAATGTGCCTAACTCCCAGCCTGCTTCATACCAGAGACGACTCTTAGTTACTAGATCTGGCAGAAAAATTAAAGGAAGAGGACCAAGGGTAGGTGATTCTTTGCCCAGAAATCTTAACTAATACTAGATTTATCTTCTTTAAATAATTATAGTGAATTGGATATGTACTAGAGTTCTGCCTAGTATGTATAAGGCTCTAGGTTGAATCCCTAGAAATACAAAATACATGTATGTATTTTTTTAATGTCTTAAAATATTATTTACAATATATGTTAAAATTTCTTTCTTTTCTGTTTTTGGACACAAGGTCTTGCAAGGTAGTTCAGGCCTTGAATTCATTCTGTAGCCTTACCTTGCCTTGAACTCATGGCAATCCTTCTGCCTTAAGCCTGCCTGAGTCACCACTCTGGCTAAAATTTCTTTTGTTATAGTAAAGTTTGTGTGTTGGTGCTTTCAAACTGAAAAAATATCTGTAAGATTTAAATGGTTTTATATATTAATTGTGGACCCCTGAGTTATGAACTCAATTCATTCCTGAGGGCTGATTGTAGCTCAAGTTGGTCAGTGAAGGCTCAGCCTTCAGAATCTCCTGTAAAAAGGCTTATCTCAGTGTCCTTAGAGAGACATTGGCCCAGGATTTCTCAATTAACCCCACGCAGGACTGGATGTTGTAATGTTCCTTCCAGTACTCTTTAAGGGTTAAATCTGTATCTGAGACCATCTAGAAGCACAAGTGGCTGGCATTTGGATCTTAACTCACGACTTTGGTTGCAAGTTAAAACTAAAATTCCGGTTATAACCCAAATTGTGTTCATATGTCAGGCTAGTTGTAACTTGGATCCACTGTATATGGCATAAAATGTCAGGATTTTGTTTTGTTTTGTTTTGAACACAGGGTCTCACTCTAGTTCATGCTAGCCTTGAACTCAATATATAGCCTAGGGCAGCCTCAAACTCAGTGATCCTCTTGTCTTATCCTTCTAAGTGCTGGGATGGTAGGTGTGTGCCACCATACACAGCTAGGCAAGGTCTTGTGGCTTCCTACCTGTCATGTCACAACTCTTATTAAAAATAAATAATCCTGTATTTTTCTTGTATACTAGTCTTTGTTTGATTCTCCCTATGCATTTAAATATATTCTTGTGTTTTCAAAACTTTTTAGAAATTTAGCTATACTCCTGTCTTCTTTGCTTCTTACCAATTCTTAAAGTATTTCAGTTTTTCTTCTACTCCCACTATTCTGCTGAAAACAGTAGTGTTTGCTATGTGGTCAGCTCCATCTCAAAAATCTACCAGATCTTTTTGGTCTTCATCTCAGTAAATCTCCCTCCTTATAGTATCTCTGCATACTGCTTTCATCAGACTTTTTTTTTTTTCTTACAGTACCAGGGATGGAACTCAGGACCTTGTCCTTGCAAGGCAGGCACGGCACCACTGAGCTAAATCCCCAGCCCTTTATCATACTTCTTTTCCCTACCTCTTTGGCCAGTCTGTCTTAAATTTCCAATGCTAGTTCATACTCTTATACCCAGCCTTTAAATAATGATATCTGAGAGTCTATCTCTTTGCAGTACACATCCTCCTTGGGCAGTCTCCTAATGCCCATGTTTGATAACTCAGATTTTCATCTGCTCCTCTTGGCTGTAAAGTCTCATTTATTGAGCTCCTCAGACTTGACATACATAGTTGAGCACAAGCCCTTATTCTTCAGACAGACCTGATCCTTTCGGTTCTTTGCCTTAATGACTGGCACTATCTTTGCAGTAAGCCTAAAGCCCAAGAATAATTTGAATTCTTCTCTTTTATTCATATATATCTTATCCACCCCAAGATCCTGTCAGTTCTACCTCCTCGGTATGCTGAAAACTTTTTCAAGCTTCACTCCTACCTTGTTCATTCAAGTCATCATTATATTGTCTCAGATATAGTTTTTTAACTTACGATTTGGTAGTCCTCAAAACTTATTTCTGTACTACTTTACATTGTTAAATGTTTGTAGCTGGGCACCGTGTGGCACAGATCTATAATCTTATCTACTTGACAGCCTGGGGCAGGAGGTTTGTGAGTTCAGGACCAGCCTGGGCCCCTTGATAAGACTCTGTCTCAAAATAAAAAGTTTTGAAAAGAGCTAGAGATAATAGTTCAGTGGTGGAGCACTTGCTGAGCATATCACAGTCCTGGGTTCAATCCCCAGTATGTATATGAGCATGTGTGCGTGTGTAATGTTTTTGAGGACTCAAAAGAGCTTCTGTTGATAGAAATAGTCCCTAGTAGAATATTTACTCTTTTAGAAGTTAAAACTAAACACTATTTTCTATCAAAAAATATATAAGCACACATTTCATAGCTATGAAAACAGTGACATCAAAATATGTTATATAGTCACCAAATAACTCCACTGTATGATTATGTTAGGGCAAAAGTAAAAACTGAAAATAGTAAGTTATTAATGAAAATAGTTTTGACTAAATAGTTCTGCTGTATCTTGAGATCCTTAGATCACACTTTGAGAATCACTAAGTTCATTCTTTTCCCTAACAAAAGCCAAAATAGTGAATTTGAAATCCTGTTTATGTTACTCCCTTACCATTGATCTTAGAATACATTTATTTTTATTTTTTTAAATTATTTTGCAGCCCTGAGAATTGAACCTAAGGCCTTCACACTGTACTACATCCCAGCCCCCCCCCTTTTCCTCATTGAGTTTATTGGTATATTTTAAGTATACAGTACGGTTACATTCTTCATTAGATAAAGGAGAAGAGAATGATTTTTTTTTTTTTTCTGGTTCCGGGGTTGAAACTCAGGTCCTTGCACTTGCAAAGCAGCTACCAGAACCACTGAGCTAAATCCCCGACCCCCAGCCCCCTTTTTTATATTTGATCTTGAGACAGGGCTTCGCTAGGTTGCCTAGGCTGGATTTGAACTTGAGATTCTCTTATCTCTGCTTTCCACATTTTGGCATCCCAGGTGTTGCCGGGCACCACAAAACCTGGCAAAAATCTGTAATTATTACTGTAGTCTGTAAGACTCAGTCCTGAATTATGTCATCAGTATTATCTAGTCTTTTTTTCCCTTGCGATTTTTAGATTTGGTGGTAGTTGACCTGTCTTCTGATCATTTCTAAAACATGCTGCTTTTGCCTTAGAACCTTTGACATCGTATTTCTTACGCTTTGCATGTTTTTCCTTATTCTTACTTTTTTCAGTTTTTATTATTTTAATTGATCACACTTTTCACTAGGTCAGGTCTCTTTGTTACTTATTCTGTAAGTACAGTTTTCTTTTTTTGTACTCATTCTGTTGTACAGTTGTGTAGATATTTAAGCATCTTTACTTACTGTTAGTTTTGGTGTGTGCTGGACTGGTTGAGCTTGCTAAGTGCTAAGTAAATATTGGTTGAATAAATGAACATCTAAGCTTACTCTGCTCTTCTCATGATATTTGCTTTGAAACATTAAGATTAGTGGTTACGGGTTACGGGGGTGAGGATTTAGCTCAGTGGTTCCGGCACCTGCTTGGCAAGCGGCAAGGGCCTGAGTTCAATCCCCAGTACCAAGACAAAATAAAAAAGAAAAGTATTTGAAAAAGAAAAGATTAGTGGTTACGGGCCAGGGATTTAGCTCAGTGTGGTTCAGCTTCCTGCCTCACAAGCACAAGGTCCTGAGTTCAATCCCTGGTACCCCCCCACCAAAAAAGATTAGTAGTTACCAATAGTTTGAGGGGAGATACAGGACGGTTGAATAGGTAAAACAGCTTCTACAGTCAGAGAAAGTATTCTGTAATGTGTAGCGATGATACAAACATGAAATTATGTTTTTGTCCAAATACTGTATATAAAACTTTATAAAATAAATGAAAGTTAATGTGTAAGAATTTATTTGTCAACTTTTAAGATTTTTTTTTTCTTAAGTTTATTGGTACATTTTAGGTACACACTTTAGTGT